GAAGAATGTCCTCAAGAACTTAAAAACATTTGGTGGAATTAAACAAATTGTATTTCCTTTCATAAGAGATGATCATTGAATGAATGAATTATTACAGTGCTCTTAATTAGGAAGAGAAGACGGACATTTTTTAGTTTTCTCTGTGCCTACTTAAAGGAGCTATTCGTTTCTTCTGCCGCCAAATGTGATTTCTCACCAGGAGCGGACGGTGGAAACTTGACAAGAGCTAAAGCTATCATTGCGTTTACAACACAAGAGGTTATAATATTCCTCTCTGAGCAGCGCTACACCTTCAGGGCTGATTGGAAAGTGGCGAGATGGGCCGGGACTAGCTGGTCAGCGCGCTAACTTCACTACAAGAAAAGACGTGATAGAGACGAGTGTTAACATTGGCTTGCTTCCCACCGCTGGAGACAGCGCTTGGTGAGTAAAGGACTAAAGTTTGATGCTGAATTCACAATGTTTCTTCTAGACTGGTGAGTCAACAGCCGGTAATGCTAACACTGGCTGTGTAACAATAGCAAAAACCTAAAAATAACTCCTTTAAAAAGAAGATTACACAAAAACAAAACCTACATCTAATTTATTGCTACATAGCTTTGTCATTACTTCGCAGTGGATATATATACGCTATGATAAACTATTTGCCAGTTGTCCATCATGTGTTCCTAAACTGGGACAAAAATAAAGTCTCCATGCTGATAACAATACAATGCGATGACAGTGACACTGTGAATATGTATTTTTTATATGCCTAACTGGCATGAGAGAACATCGCTGAGGGGACAGGAGCGAGATACCATCGCAGGCTGGCAGTGAACCCCCATCTCCATTTAACCTCTGACTGGAAGGTGGTGTAGAGGGCAGCAAACACACCAGCAGCCATTATCTTATCATTACCCTCCGTCAAAGAGGAGAAAGTTACAGAGGGAGATTTTTTACTCAGTGTGAGAAAACTTGTGCTCTGTTTTAACTGCAGAGATGCTATTACACATTTCAGGACATATATCTAAATTCTCAGTCAAGTGACTGAGTTCAAAACATTCCCATACTTTTCGCTGTGGGCTACCATAGTGATCAGCCCATTTTTCCAGCCACAAGCCAGGCTTTAGTCAACAACAGTTCCTAGCAGGCCTGGTGAGCAGCAATCCCACTGTATCATTAGCCAAACACTGGTTAGAGATGACACTTCAGAGCACTGAGCTGCTCACAGTCAGCCTGTAGCAACCAGCAATCAACAACAACACAAATACAGCATGGGAAAGCCAATGCCGAACCAATATGCTACTAGCCTTCCTGCAGATGTCTCATGCAGCTTGTCTCTTTGTATAGGCTTATATGACATTCAGCATCTAACACTCATTGGCTGCCAGCTGCTTTCAAAGAGCGTCTGGCGCCTCTCTCTTTAAGAGCCGATGAGAGAGAGAGAAACAGAGAGATGAAGAATGTCATCCCCTGAAAGACAAAAAGATAAGTCATCACGACTGTAATGATGGGGTGGGACAGGGAGGGGGCAGCGCAGGGAGGAGACAGATGAGCCTCATAAAAATCAATCATCCATTTTTGGTAAACACAGACAAAAAAAACCCCAAAAAAAACAAAACATTGACATTACATTACACATGGAGTTAAACTACAATCATCACATTCATTTTGAGAGCATCAATCAGTTTGCTTGATTATTTGTGAACCATTGCTCTTCATTTCTGCTCAAGTGATACTGTTCCCATGGTCCAGTAAACACTGCTTCAACACAATGATAACAAACAGCTCAGCCTTAACTCAATAGCTTTCTTCTGCGTGGCTTTTTCCCCTGAGCAAATTACTTAAGAATAGGGGACTATCCAAGTTGGTATATGAGGCGTATCGATGTGAAAGCAATATCCAGGAATCTTCTTTCACCGCTGACTGAGCATAATCAAACAGAGACTGTGATACGGGATGGGGGGGTTCAGCTCGTTGAAGATTTCTTACTTCTTTTTTTTTTGCCTCAGACATTTAGAAAAGTACATCATTCAAATGTAAAAAACAGAGGTATAAAAGTAAAAATTATATTTTAAAACCAAAAAATCTTGGAATTTAATTAAAAAAATGAAATGGCAATAGCTATGGTAATACTTTTTTGTTTAACCTTTTTTTTGGGGTATATTTATTACAGACCTTGTTCAGACTTAATTTGCATATGCTTCCATGTTTGATTATTCAAATTTTGTGCATCTAAAAATGAAGTCTAATATTAAGCTCAAAGGTGTTGGCTACTTTGTGTGCCAAGGACGTTTTTCCTCATATATTGTGCAGTGGCATTTCAAAGTGCAGCGACTGGACATCATTTTCAGAGTTGGGATGCAGTCGTCTCTCATCGTCCTCCCAGACTCAACCTGGGTGATGTACTCAGCATGTGACCTTGAGTCAGACTCAGCCAATACATTAGGTTGATCAAGCCCTGGTGTCACAGCAGGAAATATCCTTCTGCAAATGTCAGGGATCATCCACAACATTCAGGTGGCGCATAATTTGGAGGCATAAATTAAAGCTTTCATATTTTACCAAGGTGTTTAATATGCCAGACTGGAGCGAACCAGCAGTTATTTATGCTTGAGAGCCAAGAGACGGGGACACCGGAGAAATATTGTCAATGTACAAAGCCAGATCTCCCCCCTCTCTTTACGTCTCTCTATCTCTACCCCTCTCTCTCATCTCTCTTTTCTGTCATTTCTTCATCTATCTCTTCCTGACCCTCAGTCTCACTCCCTTATTTTCTCTCTTATTGAGAATACGTTGACCCCAGACTTATTTAAGCTCCACATCATTGATTGAAACAAGAGGAATAGGTGGTGTCATGACAAGACAGATTTGCTCTTTAGAGCATTATGGATTACAGACATATGGAAGAAAAGGGGATTTCTAAGGGACCAGAGCTGGCGTTAATTCTGTCAAATGATTTATTCAGTATGGTCAATCAGTTAAATTAGAAGTGTCCAGTTACTACTTGGCCCTCACTACCTTATGATGCATGGCGTGATGACATGAGCTAACAGTTTCATCACATTACGGCCCCACCCTCAAATCTTATAATCTCTCCCATCCTATCAGTGTAATCACTAGGAAAGAGCTATTGTATATCTCTGCATTGGATATCATGTTCCTCATAAATGCACTATTAATGTTTTATTTATGCAGCTCAAGATAAAACACAGAAAATCTGTGTTTAAAAGCAAAACCGACTGCACAATATATATATATATATATATATATATATATATATAGTGTTTCTCTCAAGACACAATGCTCTCTCTGCAACCATGCTGTGCTGTGTGACAGCCTATATGCTATCAGAAAATAGAGCAGTTTCTACTTTAGGATATTTGTGAATGTGTGACCTTTAGGTGAATACTGCTGAAAGTCACCCTTGTATGTCTCAGTACCACTCAGCCACCATTCTGTACTAATGGACAAACACTGCTGTCTTCACAGAGAAGAAGAGTTTATCTGCTGACACGGTTATGTAGCACTCTGTGAAAAAAAAAAAAGAATTGGATGATACAGAAAAGGTGGCTGACGCAGAGTCTAGAAAAAGTATGTTATCAGATAGGGACTGACTGTAGCTGTGTTTCAGTGAGAATCACTGTAGCGAAATTCAGATGAATATTGCCCACATCCACATTTCATTTCCTGTTGGAGATTACTTCAAATATTATTGCTGTACTGTCAGCTCTCTATGTTTGGAAAATACTTCTTTACATTCACAGTTTTGGGACAGTGAAATAAAAAGTGTGCTAGTTCAAAACTGAGTTCTATTGCATTTGAATGTGCACACAGGAAAGTGGTTGTGTAGGCATGCGTGGTCACAGTCTCCTGTCTTGTCCATGCATGTACGATACTGTAACTGTAGAACCTGAAATTGCAGTTAACTCTGTGTGTGTGTGTGTGTGTGTGTGTGTGTGTGTGTGTGTGTGTGTGTGTGTGTGTGTGTGTGTGTGTGTGAGAAAGCGTTGCACCGAATTCCAGGAGTGGCACACGTGTAATCATCTGAACTGTAGAGGGGCTTGTGACTGTCTGACATCAGACCATGAATGACACAGTGAGCAACATCGTGTTTGCGTGGTTCCAGCCCAGTCAAGTGACTGGCTGGCAATTTAGAAGGAAGAATTCCCTGCGCAAAGACAAGAGAGCTTAAAGAAGAGAAAAGATTCGGGAGTGTCTTCAGGAGTAGCAGCTTAATTTTGAGGCATAGGGAAACTGAGAAAAGAAAACATAAAGCGAGGTGCTGATCCTGCATCTGCGTTTCCAAAAATGTCAAGTGTGAGAACATTTGAAGAGGCTTTCTCACATTTTTGATCAGGGATGAACAGCCAGATTGTCTGTGACACGTCTGTACTGTCTTGATATCTTTTCAAAGCAGTGTTTCATCCTGAGAGATAGCCAAGAGCTAGAGCTCCTCTGCTTTACCATGTGACGTGAAATGAGTGTGACTACAGGTTGAAAAGCTACAGAGTTAGACGTCTCATCTGCTTCCTCTCTCACAACAAATATAAACTAGGAAAAGACTTCATTTTAAGCTTGTGGTTAACAAGGATTGCTCTAAATATCCTGTATACCACACTGAGCACAAAGAGCAGAGTTTGTGAACCAACTACATAGAAACCTATAATCATTCATTCCTATTGGATAGGTCAGATCTGCACAACAGCACTTAGATACAATAAATGGTGTTACTGCAGGTGCGACTTTGGCCCCAAAATAGACTAACATTCCTTGGGGGGACTTGCAGAGGGATTATGCTCCTGGTGGCAATGAGTTTAAAGCAACTGTGAGCTTCTTTACTGTGTATTTAACACATTGTTGCATAATTTAAATAACAGATATATTGCGTTTGGACAGACTGACTGTCCTGAAAGTATTTCTGGCTTCAGGGGTAAAGATCAGATTCAGTCCAGAGAAAGGTGTGCGCACAACATGAACAGCAGACTTTGGACAGGCTGTATATTTAAGGAGCTTACCTGATATTTCAGCCTGAGGGACACTTTCAATAGAGAATCCTTTCCCGCTATAAAACTGCCTGATATCCGAACAACTCCGGGCTTTGCTGGTGCCTTTGTCCCCATAGGCTGGTGCCGTCAGAGAGCACAGTGCCAGAGCCGCTATGATGAAGGAATCCATCCCAGCCGACCGGTGTATGTGGTCAAGTGCAAATCCGACCAAGAGCCGAAGCGACTGTGTTGAGTCCTAAACGGAGCAGGAGACTCCCAGTAAGTAGCCGCGTGTCAAACAGGGCTACTGAGTGCTGCTGTGCGTAAAATATCCTCCACCTTCCTCTCCTCCTTCTTCCCTTTCAGTGCGTCTGCTGAGTGTGGGGCTGCTCTCCGCGCACTGCTGCAAGGCACAAGAGCGACTCTTCACAGCGCAGAGGTTTCGTCTCTCCCCAGTCCTATAACGCAGGGCCGATGTGGACAGGACAAGACCCTCAGGTATTATTTTCCCCAAATAACTATAGGCTATCTTCTCACGCCGTGCTCGGGTTTAAGTGCAGATTTATATCCACTGTTGGGATTTTGGTTCACCTAAAGAGAGAGAATGAAGAGATGAAAGATTTAGGTTATGCATTCACAGCTGAAATTATTTAAGTCATGTAAGAAAATAGCGTCTGTGTTGCGCTGACGCTGTGCAGCCTGGTTCTTTCGCCACACGCCTACCGGCTATGACGGCCCGGAGGGATCTGAGTAAAGTGGTGCGCACAGGCAGCTACCGCAGCTCGTTTCCAGCTCAGGCTTTTCTGAACGATGCTTTGCCAACGCTGCCACTCTGTGGAGTGAGGAGGCGGGGGGAGAGAGCGAGAGGGGGGGGGCATACGAGGTTTCACGTTCCTCTTGCCATTTCCGTTTCATTCTGTCTCATCTAAATATTATTTGTGGACATGTTTCAGAATGACATTACTGTCTGGTTTGATTCGTGGGTTTAGTTTAGGAAACATCTGTCATTTTCAGTCTGTAGCAGTCTCTCTCGCTCTGTGTGTGTGTGTGTGTATGTGTGTGTGTGTGTGTGTGTGTGCGTGTGTGTGTGTGTATGTGGTTGGAAGTGAAGGAATGTGCACTGCGCGTCCTGACAGCTTGATCTCCACCAGCCAGGTGTCACAGGTGAGCTGTGGGCGTGCCCTCGAGCCCCAGGTAGACCAACCCACCCACCAGTGCAGGCCAACGCTGAGTATACCCCTCCTCCACTCTGCACAGAGCATCTGTACACATGCGCCATATCACTCCACAAGGTGCAATTAAGGAGCCAACAAGTCACTACCTGCCCTGTGCCTTTTCCCGGTTTACCTGTCACCTGCTGAATGCATTCATTATCTGAGTTTCTGTGCTGTACAACAAAAGCATGAAATGTTCCTGAATAATTTCAGGCTTGATCGAACACAGAAAAGAAGCTATACGAAACAAGAGCTATCCTCGCCTTCAGTATGAAAGAAGTTTGCACTTGTCTTATAGCCTACATACAATAACACTATAAATACAAAAGACCCCCATCCCTTGTTTGTTTTTTCAATGATGCTACAGTTTAGCTTTTCCTATGAAGCCTGTTTCCTCTTACATCCCTAAAGGAAATGCTTTGTTTATAAAGCAGGCTACATTTTATACATACTTGGAATTTTTCCATTTATTCATTGCTTCTAATAGGATCCCCTGATTCCCGGTTCCCAGGTCCAGATCTAGCAGGCCAGTGCATGGCCAGTAGCTGCAATATGTCCATAACTAATGCTTTTGTTTATTTGGGGATTCATTAATTTGTATGCGAGAGGAAAAAGTTCACTCAGTTCAGGTCGGTTTGAACCCAGGGCCCTCTTCTCATGAAGCAATAAAATTGAGTTTAAAAGTCTCATTACATTATTACACTTTGAGTATGGTATTGGCCTCATAAATGCGAAGTTCACACATCCTCCCGTCTTACACCATTCATACGAACATGCACAGTCAAAAGTTCAAGGTAAGGTAAAAGCAGTGCTGTGAGTGTTATGTGCTGAGAAACCCACAAAACATTCAGCTGATATTAAATGACTCTGGTGTGGACCTGGATTGCAACGAAAAGGACATGCAGTTCTCTCACTTAAATGTCTCCTTAGTCATCTCAGTGTATGAAACTGAATCAGACAGTGTTTGATGGTGTCACAACTGTGGGAGATGCTTTTTAAGGATCGTTTTGCCAAAGAAGATGCCACCGCACATTATTGCAGTGACACATGGAAAAACTCCAGTGCAGCCTGAAATAACCAACCGTCACACAACAGACAGACAAACAAAAGTGAGATGCGACGAGAGAAAACCAGAGACGGCAGGGTGAAGGAGAGAGCCATATAGCAAGTAAAGTCATTTCCTGCCTCCAAATCATTCTATTTATGAAGGCAGACATTGTTTATGAATGCATTAGGAAAACGTTACTCTATAATTAGTCTGTTCCTCATGACTGGATGAGTCCAAACAAAGAGGACAGCATCTTGCATATCGCTAACTGACAAATAGCTACACTTGCTTCCCATTATTGCAGCTCTGAAATGAGAAGGCATGAATTACACCTTCGTTCTGCTAAATCAAGTGGTCGACTCTGACACTAAAGCGCTGCAGTTACTCTGCTAAAGTTGAGACTTGTGTAACTGTGCCACACAGCAGACAGAAACCACTTTCTAATTATGTGTAATACCCTTGCTCCACTGTTCTCATTGCTGAAGGGGAATACCGGCCAGAGTTAAAGCACATGTGGCCAGAGGTTAATAAGTCTGGTGGCCTCAAAGTGTGTGTGTGTGATAACATGTCTGTCCGTATTATATATGGGTTTGTGTATGTACGACCTTTATGTGTACGTGTGTCTGTGCCCATTTCTCGTTTATGTGTGAGAGGCAGTTGGTGCGAGTGTGTAATGTGAGTTTATGTGTCTGACTGTGTCCCATATGTGGCCATAGGTCGGCAATGCTGTTGGAGAAACTGATTGGCCCTCCACTGTCTGGTATGGAGATCATGTAATTAACGCTCAGTAAAGCCACAGAGCAGCCATGTTTTCTTCAGGCTGCCTCCCATTGAAGTTTTATTGGCTCTGACCATGAAAGGCCTCCTAATGAGGAGCAGGATGCTGGGGGAAGTTCAGGAGACCGGGGAGTGCAAAAGAGGGGAGGCAGAATGGTAGAAAAGAGAGAGGGAGAGAGAGGGGAGAGAACGGGGTGAGAGGGTGTGCAACTGAGCAACTGTCAGTTTTCATGTAACATGTGCAGTAATTATGTGGTGAGCAGTTTCAGGGGCGTGAAGAGGTTTTCTAGTGAAAATTACACTGCATCCGTACAGAAATACTACAGATGTTAGACTACGTCTTCCAAGCAAAAACACTCACACTTGATTCAAATTAGATACATGGAAGAAAATGTTATTATAACACATGCTTCTCCCTCGAAATGATTAGTAGACTTGACAACTCATCTTTTGAGTGTTGGCACACAGAAAATAAGTATGTCAGATATTGAGTAAGTACAGTGATAGTGACCCAAACCTATCCAAAGATAATTGTGTCAGAACTACTGCTCTTCCTGCTTTGGCCTGATCACTACAACACATCCCCACGTTCCTTTGAAGCTGACAGAACTGCCTACAATAATAGTAGACTTCACTGTTGATTCAGCCTCACTTCTATGACTTTAATTGGTCATTCTGCCATTGCATTACTTATTAAAGGTGGATATAGTGAAGGGTAATCCCAATGGGAACACTGGGTACAGAATCACCTTATAAGTAATGTTCATGTTCTCCCTCAAACTGTCTCCTTTTACGGTAATTACAGAAAAGCTTATTTATCCAATTCCATTTCCTCATGTATAATTAAGGATAATTAAGCATGAAATTTGTTATAAATTATTTGTATTTCTATGCTATCGCAACAGGGAATGTGTGAAAAATGTTATTTCACTTATCATCAGTAGACTGTGGATTATTCTTCAGGTTAGAATACAAGTAACACAACTAAATCAAGGACAGCAACACCCGAATGTGGCACTGGCTGATTAACTGCTGATTGCACAAATTTACTGCTGTCAAACTAGAGACCTCAGTGTTTTCTAATTTCTTTGCGATAAGTAGTTTTGAAATCCAAAGCTGTATCAAACATCTGTTCATGCCAGCTGAACATTCCCTGCAAGCCACTACAATGCCTTTATTGTGAAGAAGCTACAGGAAATGTTGAAGGGCTGGGAACTTGTTGTTGAATAAAAAATAAAAAATAAAAAAAAAATACACATTTAGATTTGGGAAATGTAGGAGCACTTTTGTTTCCAAATCAGTTTCAAATCTTGCTTGGGATGGAACGCAAGAACAGATTGTATCACACAGAAGCTTTCATGATGTAATCCTTTCAGATACTGTAGGCATCACTTGTGCAGGTATCCCACCCGTATGGGAATTTGACAGTAGAGCATTCTGCCTGCGTTCACAGAACTACTGTGTGTTAACGACATGTGAGTTCTACAGTTATAGACACATATATATAGAGAGAGGCAATCTGATCCGTCTTTTGAAGGTCAGCTTATGTAACCAGATGAAAATGGTGCAAAGGAAGATTTTGTAATTTTTATCATTTTCATACTGTAGCACTGAAATGCAAAAGCACAGAGTGCTCTCATCACACTCGTGAGTAGAGTTTTATGAAGACATTAATGACAAAAAGAGCAGCATACTGCCAGATCTGATAGACGACACACACAAACATACAGACACACACACACTTGAGTTTCTCCCTAAAAATAAGTGATGCACTGAAGGAGCAGCAGGTTTGGCCAGTGTACAAGGCCCACCGCCAGGCTTCAGCAGGGTTTCTATGTAAATATCAGTGTGCTGTTTCAACAGATGTAATCAGCCTTTAGAGGAAGATCATTGTGTCCTCTCCCTAAAACCAGTCTCATCCTGGGCTCATACAGATAACATCGATTCTGCCTCTCCTCTGGATTTTTATGTCAACCATTAGCCTGAGTTCAGCACATTCATCGGAGTGCTCGAGTGTGTGCACATTACTCATCAGGTCCATCTCGTCCCTTTCTCGTTTCTCGTTCATTGTCTCTTTTTCTTCAGTCCATCTCCTTTCTATTTTCTCTCTTGTATGCACACTCACCGCTGCTCTATATTTTCTCCTTCCGC